CAGCCATTTCACCTCCTGTGCTTTAGCTATGCAAAGTATGATAGTAAACATTCATTAATATAGTGCAATTGTAACTGTGTAATAGCTGCATAAGTAACCACTTGTACATTGGTGTATGGCATTTTAACATGACATTTTGACATATTGTAGTATAATACATACTGTAATGCCCATATATGTGGATTGATCCTGCACCCCTGCTCATTCTTTGCACTCAGTGAAAATGCTGTTAGGTGGATTAGTGTGCTCAACCAAGGCTGCCTTATAGATGGGCCCTATGCCAATGCTAGTTTAATACCTTGAATATCTCAGTTGCTATAATGCTGACATGGTCCATATTCTTTAACAAATTTGAGATGAATAAAATGTTGACAAACTGACTTAAAAGGATACTTCTGATTTCGCTGATTTCTTACCAGCTTTGTATCATAAAAATGTATCACAAAACACTTCTGTTTCCTGCCATGACAATGTGTTTTACTGTGTGCTCTGGCTGATGTACATTTCTTACATGTACAAAAGCATGTTTAATTGTAATGGTAAAACATTAAGATAAAGGCTAATTTCCCTCGACACTTACACACAATCCACAACAGGGGGAGCTGTGTTGCACAATATGAAGTTAGGACCTTAAAACAGTGTTCCACCCTCCCTGGAGGACATAAAAATAAAAGGAGACCATCACAGAATATTGACAAGGATGTCCTTGTCACTCTCCTCAGATGCAGCATCTTTGGTATCATTTAATTTGTTGGCTGAAAAGGAAATCAGGTTCCCACACAGGGAGACCCCATCTGATCTCGAAGCCTGGAAACATTTTCACATGCAACCCAACCCCAAACAGGGCCGCGCTCTGTGGGATTGGATGCGTCACCTTATCCCCCACTTTGTGTCCCATTACCCAGCAGTTGTAATGCTCACACCAGTGTAACGTGTCTAAGGTAGCAGGCGGGGCAAGCTGAGCTGCCCTGAAATTTAAATTAACCTCAGTGGCATTTATGTGTACTGGGGAACAGGGGTGTTACATTACCGGTACCCTCACTCCCACCATGCACACACACCTGTCGTACATACAGGTGAACAAAAGAATGTGTGCACTCAGGTACATTAGCCGAACGAAATACAGAGTCGCACATGTCTGTTGCTAGTTTCATGTTTATCTCCTCTTGTGGTGAGGCTCCCTTAACAGTGGCTGGTTTCAAAGCTACCGTGAGAGTCTGTTATCAGAGGAGAGAGGGAAGGAGGGAGCTGTGTGTGTGCGTGTGTGTGTGTGTGTGTGTGTGTGGCAGGAAATGTCAGAGAGAAAGGCTTACCATCTATTTTTCAGTACTGTTGAACCTCCTGCTCGTCATGGGAGGCTGTACCTGGGCTTCCTTAAGATTAACTCTGTCAAGATCAATATCATTGTTTTCTGTAAAACAAACTCAGCGTGTTAATAGAAACTATAGAGTATAGGTGCTGCTAAGTATGTAGGGATGACAAAAAAAGTAAGATAGAAAGAACATGTCTAGCACAAACAACCTCTTCTGAAATTGTAGTTTTAGTACAAAGAAAACAGAAGAGATAAATCAATAAGTGATTTACTGAGAGATAAACGTTTCCTTTCTTAGATTTTTTTCTTTTTTTTTGAAGGTATACTATGCAGGATTTTTCTTAAAAAAACAAAACATCTCTCTCAATCATCAGTAGAAGTGTGTGATAGTGTATTTATCTGCAGAGACTCTGCCCTTTGCCTGTATTTTCTTCTTGTTTTGTATGTTCAAGATATTCCTGGGCACAGTGCACAGCTGAAGCTGAGACTTTATAAAAAGGTAGAGACCTGTGAGCAACCAATACCAATACCCCCTTTCCACCAAAATTAGTGCATGTGTGCAGGTGTTTTTAAACACAGGTGAACTAAAAATAGACTACAGACTCTTTTCCCATTGCCAGTAGACTGGCTCTGCAGCAGACGTGCATGCTTTTCTGTTTGTTTTTTACCGGTGTGTCACTTTTGACGTCACGGACAGTCCGTAAAACAGGTTAGTAAAAACTAACTAACTAACAGTAGCAGCATGGAGGCCAGTGAAAATATACAATGGTTACTTCTTCTTTATTCCTGTTACTTAGCCAGTCTCTGGTTCAAACTCTGCTTGGGTGAAGACTGATGGCGTTTTGTGGTCATTGCATAAAGGGGCTAAAAGCAACTCGTTGACCCGGATGTTGTATTTCCATCACTGCCGATCGGGGTTGATATTTGACCCACATGTGATTGCCAAGTGTAACCTTACATTACATACAAAAGCCAGATGTTAGCAGATGCTAGCGTGTTTTTTTTGTGAAGTGTGAAAATGGATTAGAAGGAATGCAAATATAGCGATGTGTAACACCAAGTCGACCAAGCTTGTTCCAAAATGAGAGTGAATCTGGGGTTGGCCTTCAATTTGTTGGCAGTTAAGTTTGCAAACAGTGACTGATAATTCCTGCATAGTATACCTTTAAAGAACTGGTTTTACGTTTCAGATATTTTTGAGAAGGCTGATGCCATTCTGTCTGTACACTAAACAAGAAGCCATAGCAAGCAATGTTTTTTTTCCTACTACGTGAAGGCATGACCAGCCCTACTATCCCCTTTCTGCTTCTACTAGGCTTACCTTGATATTCTTACCCTAACCCTACCTAATTTCACACCTGATGTGTAAACCTAACCAACCAGTGAGGGCTACGAGTCAACGTAACCTCATATGTATGGTATCCTACAAAATAGCGCCCCATGAATAACGTTAGCACTTAGCTTGAAGTTATATAGTTCACATAAAGTTACAAAGGTTTAGGTTTAGGCAAGTTAGGTCTATGAAAAGAAACATGTTTTGGCGTCGTCAGATTTAGGTGAAGTTACTGTGGTTAGGTTTAGGAAAAGTAACATGGTGACAACGCACATTAAATGTATGTACCTTGAACAATGTACCCTCAAAGTGTACATGGGTACAAACAACGGTCTTCTGGGGAAAGTCCTGGAGGAATGTCCCATGTTTTGTGAACCATACACTGCCCCAACCTGCCTCCTTCTTTACTCCCATCAGTGCATTGGTCACATGATCCAATGAGTTATGCACAAACTACTGGCTCATGATTTCATGGAATATGTACAAATTTGGTGTATTACTTTTTGTAGGAAAACGTATTAACAGTGCAAGAGAAACCTGACCAGATGCTAGTAAATCAGACGAGGAGCAGGGCAGGCCATGTCTACACTATTGTTGGAAAAAAATTTGGCCAGCTGGTTAGCTTACCTTAGCATAAAGACTGGAAACTGGAATCAAAAGGTACCAAAATCCACCTGCCAGCATGTCTACAGCTCACTAACTCACATGTCTTTATGCTAAGCTAAGCCAACTGCCTGCAGGCTGTAGCTGCATGCTGTATAGTGGAATTTATCATTTCATCTAGCTCTCTGCAAGAAAGCTAATAAGTATATTTTCCAATAATTCCTTTAAAGACTAAGTGCTGCCTTTGGGACTGAAGGGAATCTTAGGATGAGGTGGAACTGAATTTCGCTGCCACTGTGAGCGCTCTTGACCCTCACCAAGCAGCCCAAGGGCATTTGGAAAGTGCTTTACCCAAGCAAGGGTAGGCCAGGCAGCAGAGAGGGGGCAGCTGATCCCCTTAGGCATTCTCTCTTAATTTCTCCTCAAGAACTGGGTCACACAAGAAGATGGTTGCATTCCCAGACTTTCTGCTCAAGTGTTTTTTATGGCCATCATAAATCATTTACTGGTCCTGCTCTGCTCAGGAGGCATGTGTGTGTCTGACAGGGAAATCCTTGTTGACAAACCATTTCCCACATTTCAGACATCAAATTTCATTATTCAAGAGTGCATTGGGCTTTTCTTACCTTGTTCTGTGGAGCAGACAGGAGCATATCTCAGAAAACAGTCTGATGTGGACTCAGTTACGTCTCAGCTAAAATGCATTTCCCTTTTTGTGGTCTCAGTTTTGTATTGATGATTTCATCGGAAGAGATGCAAAAGCATCTGTCTGGTGAAATAGGAGATTCACATCCCTGGAAGCTCTTTCAAATGGACCATCAGGTCATGGCCCCATAAATGTTATTTGAAAAACCCATGGGAGTGACTGCATCAGACGATATGGCTCCCAGAGGCACCCTGGGTGCTTATTAAAGGCATGAGAGAGAATGATAAACAACACAGAAGCTGAGGCTCTGTCTATACAAACAGTTAGGATTATGAAGGATGCTTCTGTGTTGCCTTAATTACTCTGGGTGAAGGGGTAAGAGAGCTTGCTTAAGGGCTTTTTCTAACAGAATATGAAAAACGTGTCCCTGTTTCGACTATAAGGCCCTCCCCTCTGTCTTTCTTTGTCATGACAGCTGAACTGCAGCAACCTCTAATTCTCTGCTTCTCTCATCAAGCTTTTCTGACAATTACATGATATTACATTACAGAGCTATTGGCTTGTGACTAAAGATTAGCATATTATGCTGAGGAGTAATTCCAGAGCTGCAGTGTATTTCTGGTATCAGCTAACAGGACTCAAATCTTCCATCACCCCTGGGTGACGAGTGATGAGTTTTGTTTGTTCCGTCCTCCCGGAGCTACAACATCCTACGTCCCTGCATTTGATAAATGGACTTTAACTTTGGATGGGCTCACTCGGACTCTTTAAGTGCAGTGTAGAGCACTGCTGTGTTGTAGAGATAATTTAGGGGTCCCACTGGTTATGGGGGTGAGCTAGCAGGGGTGTCCTGTCAAATTCTCTTAACATACAAAGGCAGATCTGAAATATGTGGTTCTCATCAATATGGAGCTCTAGTATAGTGCAAATTACCCAAAACATCACAGAATAAATAATGAGTCCTTCATCACACAGCAATCTGATTCATCAGCATAGTGAGCTGAATATGCATTTGCATGTATTCTGTATGTATTTTTTTCATTTTTTTGTGAGACAGTTGACTGACTGACAGTTGACTTCAGTAAAACAAACCCCCCAAACAACAATTAAATTGGAAAACATAATTTTACTGAGAATATACTGGTGAATACCATATGGGTTTTAATGGAAAACAGTTGCACATGGAGTTTCCTCATTCTAGAGTTCCCATTGTTCAAATTGCTGTTTGCCTCCATAATTGTCTGTGTGTGAGCGAGGTGCATCTAGGTGAATGCACCACTAGATAAATCCCATTTGTATCCCATATTTGGAGTTCACCAAAAACATGCCGCTGCTTTTACTTCCTTAGCGCACAGACTAGTCCATCAACTCAGCCAACAAAAACTCCTAATGGGCCACGAGAAGATGAATTATTCATCTTGGCTAGGTTGCATCGGACTGGTTTTCTTGTTCAGGTGCACATGTCTTGTTGCCCACCTTGGCTCTGTGACAAACCATCTGAGACTGATGATACTTGTAGGTTGTAGCTCAACCTGTTTGGTGTGGGTCACTACTTCAGGTCCCACGTGCAGCACCATCGGCCCTATACCACAGTACTAATGGTGGAAGACTCCTCTGACTTGCCCTGTCTGCTGGGCAATGACTTGAGATACTCCAGGTGCCTGCGGGCATCCTCCTGATTAGCCCTGACATAGTAGACCAGGTAGGAGATGACCATGGTGAACCAGCCGAACATGACGACCAGCATGGCCACATCTGTAGTCCTCTTCATCACCACACATAGGTCTATGTCTGGTGCCAACAGAAAGGCAAGTCCTTGAACTCCTATTTCCTCTGGATCTGAAGTCTGGCACACGATACCTGTCAGCGATGCAGGCTCTAGGTCCACACGGGGCATGGCCATCTGCAAGTTGCAGTCACAATGCCATGGATTATTTGTTAGGTTGGCGCGAGACCGCAGGCCCTCGAAGGCCTCAGCGCTAAAGTGTTCTAACTTGTTAGAAGAAAGGTCTAGGAACTGTAGTGAGGAGCCGAGGCCTCTGAATGCCCCTGGTTCTAACTGGCTTAATTCATTGTGGGATAGATCCAGTTCAACCAGGTGAGGCAAACCTGCAAAAGCATTTGTTGGGACTGTAGTGATGAGGTTGAAGTCCAGGTAGATGCGTCGCGTGTCATTGGGGAAATCCTGGGGGATCTCTGTGAGCTGCAGGTTGCTGCAACGCACCGTCTTGCCACCGATCTCACTCTCAGAGCAGTAGCAGCTCTTGGAGCAACTGGTAGCAGCATGGTGGAAGCAGAAGGTCATAAGCACCAAGCTGTGCAGCAGCAAACACATGACCACCGAGTGGCGCAGTAACCAGTCTGCAAGTAGGGACATGGTGGGATAAGGGCATGCTCCAGGAAGGACCACCTGGGCGCAGCAGGCGAAGTCCACATCAACCTCCCCAGTAGCGGCTGACCCTGTGACATAAAAACAACAGAAAGTTGCATTAGTGGTGCAAAAGGTTGTGGTAGTCGAGATCAGTCTTAATGACCACTTTTTGAAGGTCTCGGACTCAACTGTATTTTTATTCGGTCTTGTCTTGGTCTAAGACAGTATTCAACTGTGCGAATAAAACTAAACTGCCTGTGCAAAAAAGGAGTGTTGGATAAAGATAGTTAAGTTGATCTTGGCCTTGTCTCGGTCTCAGTTTAGGTGGTCTTTACTACAACACTGGTGGATTGACTATCCCACATTAAAAGAAGTGAAGAGAAAATAAAGAGAAATGCAGACAGAACTGTGAAATATTTTTTGCAAGCAAAACATTGGTGATCAACAGTGTTCTTCAGAGTCCATATTGTTGTCTACTGTAGAAATCGAGGGGTACAGTAGCTTATGTAATTGCCATGAGGAGGGAGCATGAATGCAGCATGTTGTTAGCCAGAAACAACTGAACTTCTGTTGTATTTCCAGGAAAGTCGAAGGATCAAACATTCCCTTCATACCAACTAAATAAAAGAGCTACGAGAATCCTTTGGTGTCACTGTGCCTCCTTTATAATTGACATCCCCGCAATGCAGGGCTATTTCAGTACACAGAGACTGGCATTAACATAGTGACGTGACACCACGAGGAACAAAATTTTCCAAACAAAACGGAATTTTTAATGGAGTTACATATAATTTATACATAAATATGAGGTGTCCAATGTTTTCTAAAACAATGGCTGCTATTCTGATTCAACAGTTTTGTTAAAAGTGACCATTCAAAATGTGCTTGGTGTCTGTCAAGCTGTGCAGTCACTTGTATGTGAGGTCATTTAGTCAGAAGTGCAAGTAACACAGAGGTAAAAGCTTGTCCATGTGCCCTGTAAATTACACTTTATATTTTGTATGTAAGCCTTTGAAAATGGCAGCTCGACCCACCCTAACATACTTCATTAATAGCTGATCAGGGCTACCTCCTATCCTGTTACTAATCCTCTTAAGGAAAAACTCCTTAAGTCAGTGTAGCATCAGTGTTGGCCACCCAATCCTTTTGTAGGGGTAAATGCTAATGCTAGAAACCGAACCAAGGCCAACAAAATAGACAATGTGATGGTCGTTCTTCTTTGAGACAAAAAAGGACCACAGAGTTCAACCTGACTTCTTAATTTCGTCAAAATGGCCGGAGACTGGGCAAGATCCACTTACCAAGATTAAAAAATGAAATCGATCTCTAAGTACCTTGAAGTATCACATGACGTTGGGGGGGTAGAGGGACAGAGTGTAGTGGCAATGGTGTTGTGTATGTGTGTGTTAAGGGGACAGATGACTTGTCTACGAGACACAGCTAATAGCACTTGTTGTGTTACACCGGTTTCAGAGATGCCTGCCAGACAATCCCAATAATGAGGGAGAGATGGAGGCTGGTGCACCAGAGCAAAGCACAGATGAAGCTGCTATTAAGACTGCTGTAGTTTGCCTCCCTCAGACATGAGACGTTTATCCATACATCTTCATTAAGGCATCTTCCAAAGGATTTTCCTCTGCACTCCGTGTCAGCAGGGGTGCATGGGAAAGTAAAATAGCATGGCAGATGCAGTTTAACACCCAGGGAAATAAAAGTCTTGCCTAAACTAAATGAGTAACGTAATGCTCGCGTAAAGGCTGTACTTTTCCCTTCACACAGCGTGCCAGCATGGTGTTTTGCAGCGAGATAATGGGGGATCAGGAGCAGAAGGCTGGTGACGGAGGAGGAGAAAGCATGTGGGCAAGGAGGGAAATTAGACACACCAGCACAGAGAAAGAATAATATCAAGAGGATTTAGGAGAGGGAGTAACGTTACAATAAAAGCACAGAGAACAGTGCTAATGAGATATTGAGGAAAGGGGCAAATGTTAGTCAGTCACAGGGACAGCTGATGAAAACAGCTGGCAGTGAAAGAATACAGGGAAGAGGGAGGAGAAAAGTGGATGTGATCAAGACACAAGAGAGGGTGTAATGACTGACAGGGTGGGGCACTCATTTAAAAAGGTTTTCCATCTAAATACGCCTCTCAAAGACATCACAAGCAAAAAAAAATTGTCATTTTATACATCTTATAGCTCTATACAGTAAATGAAATAAATCAGTTGGCCTCTAAATCTGGTGAGGTCTTCATCAATGTTCCTGAAGTCACTGCCTACTTCTGTGATAAATAACCCCGCCGCCTTTTAATTTAAACAATAAATACAGCGCTCCTGCAGCCAAAGGTCAGTCTCTCACTTCATAAATTCACTGCTGCCAGTGCTGTGCCGACAAGTCTCTGCCGCCAATTATATGAGCAGCAGTCATTTGGCCTCACACCCCAAACACTAGAGGCAATAAAAGGCAACACAAATGTATTATGTTAATACATTTCAGGACGTGGTGGTTTTCATGCTCAGGCGTATATTTTGGGGGTGGACACAGGAAACACGACACCTTCAATATTTAGAGCATGTGCTTTTGTCCTAAAGTAAAACATGAAAGTAGCAGTGGACTTTAGCTTTGACCAAATAAAGGAGATTTACACTCAGTGGCACTCTGTGAAGTTCTTATTAGGTTGGCTAGATGGGGCGACACACCAAAACCAGAAGCCAAATTCAGGAATTCTGTGATGCTGTTGATGCTAGTTGAAAACCATGTCAATAGTTAAGGAATAGCATACCGATATACTTTGGTTTCTTATTCTACAGTTAATATTTACAATTATCTGATGGGCATAGACTAATACCGTTACAGTTAACATCTGGAGTTCCACAACAATTCTGTTTCAATGTGTAATGTATGAGTATCTGTACACGTTAGGCGATTCATTGTTCTTCCAATAAGTTGGTTGTCCTTTTCCTTAAAAAGACGAATATTCAGCTGTGACTGAGGGGGTACACTGATCGTAAGGAGCAAAATATTAACTGGGAGAAAGCCTTTTCATGTTTACAGGAGATATCTTGAGGTAAGCATTCAAGGGACCCATTTGAAAATGGTCAAGCCAGTTGTTTCCTTGCCAAAATTTTGCCTAACTTTGGAGCGTTATCAAGCCTGCCAGTACAAGCTATGCCAACATGTTTGGTACCAATGGATGCCTTGGGTTGTGTAGTTTCAAAAGCTACCACCAAGATATGGAGACATCTTGTAGAAAATGCACCAAATACAGGATATTAATGTGTTTGACCCTCAAATTTTTCTGGTGGAAGACCCCAAAACCCCCCATGCAAGTATGTCCTCCTCCCTAATATTGAAGTAAACCCTACACCCTTGTTTGCACATATGAATCTGACCTCTTTGTGGCATCAGCGTCACAGCTGTAAGCACCGCATGAATGGCAAATAAGCTGCTGGTTTCTAGTTATCAATGGGGGTGTGTGGATGACAGAAAGGGAAACAGGGAACTAAACCATCCTTGACATATTTAACTTTAAAGGCAGGCTTTTAATCCAAGTGTAATCATATTTCAATGCTTTTAGCTCTATCCATTCCCGATCCTTAGCTCAATGCCAATCTCGGTCACTAGAAATTCCCCATTATGCTTTTCCTCAGAGCACAAAGTGTCACTTGGCAGATTTCCACTGTACATGAAGACCCCGCAGAATAATCTTGTTGAGTTAACAGAGAGTAATAAGCATAAGCTCATTGTTACAGGAGTAGGTAATGTAATCACATCTAATGTACAGTATATTGCAGATTAATAAGGATTTGATCTTATTGATCAGTTTAAATATTCTTTCAAAATTAGTATGCCTGCATAAACTTCAGCACTAAAACAACACTGATGTAATTACTTTACATCAATCACATGCTGAGGGCATTGAAGATGCCAAACAATGGGTTAAGTTTCTGCTCAAATTTAAATTCTACTTATAAGCAACAAGCATCTGGTGGAAAATGAACTCAAAGGACAGGAGATAAAGGCGATGCCTCGTGGGAACTGATACCCTCGTTAAGTTTGTCTTTCATCCTGTTTGAGTCAGCACCATACAGTGCTCGTTGCCAGCGCCAATCACATTTACAAACCCGCACTCAAACTGGAAAACACTTGCCCTCCTATGGATGAACAAATGTGTAGATGCATGCATTATCACAAACAAAACATAAGCGGTTTTTGATCAGTAACACACACACTCACGTCTTTGCCGCTTTCCCCCTGCTTTTCATGATGTGTTTCTCAGCAAGTGCCCGACAATGAAATGGTTGAAGCAGATCAGAGCGCAGCTCGAAAGGCGGTTCAGTCAATTATTTGGTCCGCTTCCATCAGGTCCTCTTGCAGCTCGTTAAACTTGTGCTGAGAGCCGCTCCGGCAGCCACGACGCGCCACTGGAAATGCTCCTACAGTTCAGGGCTCGCTCAGTGCAGCCTTTTTTAGTTTCCACGCAACCAGAAAACTAGGCAACATTACCGGAGCCAGCGCGAGTGGACAAGGACGCAGCGCCAGGGCAAGGCTTATAATTGATGGCGGTATTTCGCTGACTCTGATCCTGGATGTGACCAAAAAAAATATTGATGCAAAGTTTAAAATGGCAGACACATGGCGCGCAATGCATTTACGCACAGACGCAAAGTCTTAATGGTGTTGCTGGGAATGCATTAATGGTGGGGCTGATTGCATTCATTCATATGCATGTGTTGATTGCTGTGAGTGAAGTGCATCTGCATGCATCAGGTGCCAGTAAAGTAAGGGGTACCCCTCCCTCACACACACACACACACACACACACACACACACACACACACATAACAAAAGTGATCTCATACATGGAGCAGTTGGTTTGGCAGCCCACACTAATCATGTTTGATCTGAAGCTTGTTGTTTCAAACATGCAGCCCGGCTGCCAGGGCGGTGGATCTTTGGCCGTCTCTGGGCCCCTTTTCCTGCCTGCTGCCAGCCGATAAGGAAGCCCAATCAAATCCACTATGAAAACAGACCTTCATGGGCACAGGCTTGGGAGAGTCTGCCAAGCAGCCGGTCATAAGGCATCAATGGAATTAAATTAAAATCAATAAACTGGGATACTCCACCCAGGCCAGCCATTAGGAATTACGGACAAGGGGACAACATTTTCCAAAATGAGCCCCTTGTCCACACCCACTCCAGCACTACCGGTGTGCAGAAATATTCAAATACATCATTGTGAAAAATGGCAGAGCCACTTTTCCACTCACCGAAATTTAGCCCAACTTTGGAGCATTATTCAGCCTCCTCCTGACAAGATAGCACGACACGGCTGGTGCCAATGGATGCGTAGGGTTGTCTAGTTTCATATGATATCAGTATCTCAGTAACTCTATTTTTATCTGTAAAAGAGGGGCCCTGCAGGAAAGGTTTGTGAACCACTGCAGCTCTGCACATCTGACCCCTGCAATCAGAAGGAGCTCAAATATTGACTGATTTGTTTTAATGATGATGATAAATGTAAATACATATAACTCGTATTGTCAGTGATATTAGTCAAAATGTAAATTGCTGTAATTGATCCCATTTAAGGGCCAACTATACACTTTTGCATGGACTCCCCCAGGGCCTAAGGCTGAGGTCATCTGTGCCCTTTGACACCCTGACGGCAGGGCTTATTCCACCTTAACTCCCTCCCTGGTGCCCTGGAATGGCAGATTATGAATGATTAACTACAGCTAAGGTCTTTCTTTCTTAGTAGTAGTAATATCACAGACTGTGTTTTGTGACCACATAGACTGAAATATTATCAGTCTCTATCATATTTATTTATTCCCCTGCATAAATCTCCTTTAAAGTAAAATCTCAGTACTCCACAACCGGAGTCTTTTTGTCTCCATTTTGATAAATATAAGATGTAAGCACTGCATGAAAGCCTGGATTACCAACCAGGCAAAGTGAGCCCCAGGGGCCAAGACCATCAGGGGCCCAAATACCTCAGTTTGCTGTTGTGGCAAGTGGATCATTTGCAATTTTGTTATACTACTAAAACACAGTGAAAGCTGGGGTCCATCCTGTCATGTAGACAGGTCCTGTGTCAGATGTAGTTTAAACACCATTCATATTTTAGTTGATTTTATGCTTACATGGTATGTATTCTTAAACATATTTGAGTTTCATCAAATTTTCACACACACCTTACAGGAATATGGGTTGCTGGGGCTCCAGGCAAAATGGACTTGGGAACTAGGGCTCAATAGGGGCCAGCAGCTCATTTTTGCCCCTGGGCCCACTAGTGGCTTTATCCAGCCTTGACTGTTTAAATGGTAAATAATCTGTTTTCAAACCCCAGGGTGGGGGAGCCCTTCTGTGCGGAGTTTGCATGTTCTCCCCATGTCAGTGTGGGTTTTCTCCAGGTACTCCGGCTTCCTGCACAGTCCAAAGACATGCAGGTTAACTGGTGACTCTAAATTGTCCGTAGGTGTGAATGTGAGTGTGAATGGTTGCCTGTCTCAATGTATCAGCCCTGTGAGAGTCTGGCGACCTGTATGCTGCTTTAAATATGTCACATTCAAGAGCAGCACAAAATCTTTATGAGGGTTGCCACTGGCCCTGAGCCGCACTTTGAGCAACTATGATCTATAGGTTGGCCAAAGATTGTACTGTACTCACCTCCATTATTTTAGGTATTTTAATGGCCGTACTGCTGAATCTTATTCTCAAACCAGTTTTTTAACAACCCAAAAATAATTTTGTTTGTCACTTTGGACCATCTACATCACAGCTGCACTACTCAGGCAACATCTCTCATTCCCCTGTACACTAACAGTGATGAGCGTTCAGATAAAGCCACAGGAGATTTACTGCAGCTGCACAATACAAAAGGCAGTCGGTTGTGCGGCCACGTTTTATGGTTACATTTGTTTAGCCCTCTTAAGAATTGCTTTGCTGATGAAGTTTATGTTGACCTGCTGCTTACAAGTCTGTGGAGGCTTGTGTTTCTTTGGCCTCACTGGACTCTAGTAGAGAATTCATGTCTGCTATCTCTAAAGCAAAGTGGGTGATCACAATGGTCCAGTACACTAACCTGTAGAAGTGAAACAGAATCTTTTATGTTTTCATGCATTAGTATAGTATGACATGTTAGGGTTGACTGATGAATAAAACCACCATCTTACATGTTTATGTTAGTCCCCATGAGAAACATGAGCAGTATGACTTGATGTTCATTATTGCTGCTCTGTAGTCACTCCTTTTACAGCCCGCAGGTTAAGAGGCTGCTCTTGTCAATTAGGAGACGATCAGATAGGTGGAAGAGCATATGACAGTGAAACAGCAGAAAATAGGATTACTTTCCTCATCGACAGAGGAGAGTGCACTCGCAGTCAGTCTTCCCCAGCTTTATCAGATTACTTCAAATGCTCCACTGTGGTTGGCAGCTAGACGGGTGCTGTATGCATTATCAACCAAGCATTAGTCCTGATAGACTACACTTTCAAGTGGATCAAAGTTTCTTGTTTTCCCCCCTACTTACTTTTTTTTTCTCTCCAGCCTGTCAAGTATCTCAAAGACAGGCTCAGGCGTCCTCTCTGTTAGCCTTATACCTGTGCAGGTGGCATACCTGACATTAATCCACACAGCTAAAGTGCTGAGTGGGAATTTGGCGAAGAAAATACAAGCACCACAGTTTTGTACAATGTCATTTCAACATGGTGTGAATGTTTTGCCATTAACCTTCTCTGTGTGCTCTTGCAGTTGCAGTGGAACAAGAGGACTCATATTAATGAGATCTCTCCCTTTCGTTCTCATTTTCTCGCCTACTTTGTCTCGCCTGCTCACACAAACACACATACATGCATACGTACTTAAGCTCGCACAAACACACACGCACACACTCTGTCTCTGGCTCCAAGCTTACTCCTCGTCCCTGTGCAAGATCAAAGTCCTGCCGTGTCTTTATGAATACAACATTACTCGCTTTATTTTTTTATTTCTTCACCTAGGTCGTGTAGCTTTTAATCAAAAACTGTGAGGAAGGTGTATTAAAAGGATTTCCCTGCTACTGCTGGTAACAGAAGGGTCGCACCACCTCATCTTCCCTGTGAAGATTCTTGCCTTTGAAGTCTGATATCACTGACATTAAGGAAACAATGGCCTAGCGATATGAAAGTGTTGTAGATATTCATTGATCCTTGTTGAATTTCCCACTTGCAGAGCTATGGCCAGCTGAGTCGCATCCAAAGCTTACAACCACAGGAGTATTGAGTCTTCAGCCAAAGAAGCTCATGAATGGATAATGCTCCACTGGCATGTTCTAAGGGGTTTATAATGTTTTCAGTGCATAATTCTTTTTAAGTGTTTAAAATAATAATTATAACACTAATAATAATAATATAGCTAGAATATGTGTTAAATATGTTTTGGGTCAGTGGTCCCCAACTTGGACATTGGGACCTCCACAAGGGGTCATGAGATTATAATCCACAAGGTCACAAGATGATTACTGAAAAACTAAAATATGATACACAAAATTCATTTTTTTCCCTTTTGGCTCTTTGCTTTTTTGGAATAATGTGTTGTTTTATCTCTTTGGGGTTCTAACACCAATAACTTTCTACAGCATAACTAGCTGCTCCATTAGGGTTTACTTTGGCACAGTGGTGTTCTTAGCTAAATGTTAGCATCAGCATGCTAACATGCTCACAATGCTGACAATGATAACATGCTGATGTTCAGTGTCTTTGTTGAAAAAGTTAGCATGCTAACATTTGCTAATTAGCATTCCACACAAGGTAGCCTACAGCTTAGACTGACGGATATGTCATTAGTTTGGCAGGAATTTGGTCAAAACCAAAGTACTAGAAAAATTAAAACTTTGACCTGGTAACAGTGCCACATAAAAAAGTTTGGGGACCACCAAAGTTAATACAATCCATCCAGTGGACTGTGGGCCATGGATGTCTTTGCATTTTTAATTGCAATTAATCCAACAGTTGTGGACATATTTTACTCAGAACCAATGATGTCAACCTCATGGTGGCGCCAGAGGAAAAATCGGAGGATCACCGAAGTCTGTTAGCTTTATCCTCTGGGGGACATCAAAATCTGTATAAAAAAATCATGGAAATCCATTCAATATTTGTTGGGAACATAGTTGTAGATTTTGGGAGGGATGCAGGGGACAAGACCCCCTCAATAAAAACATGAAAGTAGTGGAGGTCTTTAGAATTTTGACAAAATTCAAGACATTTACATCATAATCAATCAAGCAAATCAAGTGTAAATTGTTTGATGGAGGGTTGGGAGGAATCCTAAAACTAAAATAGCCATTATTATTTCCATAGCATTTTTCTTAAAGCTACAGAAAGCCACTGGAGAGAAAAATAAACCGCATACAGCTCTGGAGCCACAGTTGCCTACCCCTGGTTTAAATGAAAATGGTGGACCAACCAACAAACAAACCAACACTGTCAAAATCATCAT